AGCAATGACCACTAGAGGAGCAGATATATCCCAGATTGGTTTGGGAGGCGGAGTTACATGGCCAACGGTTAGCAAAAAGCAGTGATTCTCATCTGAAAGAATGGTAGGGATGGATATTGGAATGTGTGTTGTGATACAATACGTGTGTCACGATAATTGGTTTATGATACAATGTTATAGTATAACGATATTGCTATATCACTATATATTGCAATATTTCACCCAGTTATCAAAATAAAATGTATAGATAAAAAAGCAGGTGCTGTAATTTTTCACCAGAATCCATGTTGTTTAGTGTTTAAGTTAGTCCCAGTCTTCCACTGTGACTGACTCAACTACAGAAACGGTGCTGCGCCGCACAGCAAAAGGGCTCCACGGTGCCATCTACCAGAATGGGGGTGCAGAGTAAGGGTGTGCAAAATAATCGTCAAATCGATGCATCGTGATTCTAATTTTTGTGATCTACTGAATCGATTCTTGAAGGCAAGAATCGATTATTAAAAAAAAAAATGAACAAATAAAATACATTAATGGTTGGCGCACATCAATCAAACCAAGTGGAATACAACTTCCAGTCCAGCAGATGTCGCTGTGGATGTGTTGACGCCTGCTGCTTTGTGTCATAAGCATGTCCGGACTGATTATCCTCATTTTGTTATTTTAAGTTTGATGAATCCTAAGATCTTTTTGTCAGTGTGTCCACGCCAGTAATAGTAATATTTCTGTCCAGTATTTGTTTTCATGGCAACACCTCCAAAAGTAATTTCAATAAATACAGCTATGTATAAATTCAGTTGCTTTCAGTTATGTATCAATTGAAGACACTATCCAGATCACACCCAGCCAGTCAGCCACTGGTAAGGGTTGTATCTTTTTCTTACAGTGTTCAGTGAAAATATCCCAATGCATCGCAATATTTCAAGTATCGTGATGCATCGTGATAGAATCGCATCGTGGCATGTGAATCGTGATTCGAATCGAATCGTGACTTCTTTGCCAATACCCACCCCTAGTGCAGAGGTAGCACATTTTCACTCTTTGATTTAGATTTTTTTTTTTTTATTGTTTTTTTTTTAAATAGATACCTGCGATGGACTGGCGACCTTTCCAGGGTGTACCCCGCCTCTCGCCCGTAGACAGCTGGAGATAGGCACCAACACCCCTCAATATCGTATTAGGCAGCCGAAAATCACGATATATTGCCAAATCGATTTTTCCCCACACACCTACCTTAACAGAGTTCACTATAAAGTCCAATATATAGTCCCCGCTCTATGTAGTAATCGAGGGATTTAGGGGTTAGTGCGGACGTTCGGACACGGCCTCAGTCATAAAGCAACAGTCAGGAATAAAGTGAATCTCATCGATAGTTGGTGCACTTTTAGTTTCCCCACCACGGCTGTCCTCTTATTCACACAAGCATAATGGTGGGAGCACCTCCACCATACAAACCTGACACCAAAGAGCAGAAAGCCCTGGAGAACTCAATGGCAAAGTGGATTGGCGTTCTGGCCTGCCTGCAAGGACTATTGAGGATGAAGACTATGTGGATATGATGAAACAAGCAGACAAAAGGTTCAATGTATGCAGTGGGATATATGTTATAAAGAGAATCAGTGTGTAAAGTTCTATTCTGCACAGTGTTATATAAATAAAATAGAGAAAAAGAGAAGCAGTGTGTGAAGAATTTTTATTCTGTATAGAGTTATATATATGTTTAAAAAAGCAGTGTGTGGAGAAGTTCTATTATTTACAGTGTTGACTGAAATGACAAAACTGACTAAATTTGATTTTCGTCATTTAGACTAAGACTAAATCGGGAAGGCAATGACTAAATATGACCAAGACTAAAATTGATTTTTGTCATTGTGACTAAGACTAAGACTAAATTTGAAAAAGCTGACCAAATTAACACTGTTCACAAGGAGATTGATTAAAAAAAAATTGCATCTGAGGAAGGCATTCCATCAGTACATTGAGCAGTAATGGGTGGAGAGATAACAGGGTTCCTACAGCATAAGGCAAGTTAAATTCCAGAATTTCAAAGACTTTTTAATGCCACTTAAAACAAAAATTTAAGATCAACTTTACAATAAACACAAGAAAAACCTGGTAGCAACAAATTTACCTCAAATGTTTACATAAGCCATTACTTTCTGGCCCAGTAGATATTTCAAATTTGGAAAAACTTTCCATATAGGAAGAAAGTTAAAAACACACCAATAACAAATATATTTTTAACTAATGTTGCGCCGATGCCATTTTTTGGACCCGATACCTGGCTGTGCAGTATCAGCCGATACCGATACCATCTGTTTGAAATTGATGTGAGTGTATATATATGAAGAACTGCATACTATTTGGATGTAAAATAATTGCCATCATGGCTTTGTTAAGCTGCGGCCTACCTTTGTGAAGCAGGAAAAAGACTAATCCAAAGTGAATCCAGTAGAACTTTTTATTGCCCATCTGGAATGGATGACAATAGTTTAACTTTTGGCTCTCAAAATGGTATCGGAGCCCTATTTGTTAGTACTCGCCGATACCGATGCCACCATTTTTGTGCTGGATTGAGGCCCTGCTGTATACTGATATCAGTGCAACACTATTTGTAACAACTACTGAACTGAATTCGCAAAATTTTTTTGTTCCCTTCTCAAACCCTCTACTTTCATTCATTGCCGGTGTAGCATCAAACATTATCTGGAGATTTGGTTTTACTGGCGCTGTTGTTGATGTGAGAGATGCTGTGGAGGCATTGCAGAGACAAGGATGGAACAGAATGGAGAAATACCTGCTGCTTCACCATAACTTAATTTTGACGCTTTGAGTTTCACGCTTCGCACATGTGTCTCCACTGCCTTGATTCCCATTGTGCTTCATCTACATTCCCTGGAACTGGTTTTAGACAGGCAGAAAACTCTTGGCAGATAGCCCATTTTTCATTGAATTTAAACTTGCACCATGTTGTCCAGATAAAAACTTAGTGGCACATCACAACGAGGTCCAGCCACAACATCGTTTTTATTGGTTCAGCTTTTTGAACGGAACTAATAATCATTATGATATGGATTACAAAAATCCTTTAAAATCCTATTTATGATGTGGTAACCATTTTAATTCCTTTGAAAGACTGATTTAAGACATTTTAATACCAATTAGGCCTTTATTTTATATTGAAGAATTCAATGCCTTTTAAGACTTTTTAAGGATCTGCAAAACCCTGGATAAGAGCTCTGCTTTGAGCTTTGTTGTACTATGATCCATTTGCTGTGATGAAAATTATCAGTGGTTTTGAAAACATTAATTTTTAAAACCTTGGTATACCTTCACAAAAGATTGATATCTAATGTAATCAGCAGAGCTTTATTAAAATGACATCTTAACAAAAGTGAAAGCAGTGATTCACTTTTAATGTCATAAATAATTCTAGCCTAAATTCCAAGACTTTAAACTACAGAGGAAAAGGGAAATCCCATGGGCTCAATATTGGACATTTTTATTTCAAACCTTTAAATAGATCTATGCTGGATCTATTCTGATGATCTTACATTGAGATCATCAGGCTTTGAACTTGGCTGTCTTTCACTAGGACACCTTTTATTATACTGTACTTTCCTGTAATCTACATTTCATTGCAATAGACAGACCGGGGGGATTAAACTGACTCAACAAAAATGGTACATTACTTTACGTCATAAATGGGGTAAAGCAAGACGATCTTTAACACTCTCCAGGCAGATGTTGTAGATTTGCAACAGCTAAGTGCTACATAGCTATTTACTCCACATCCATATTTTAAGAGAATCTGTTACTCAGAATTACAACAGAAGGACTTAGTTGTGCATTTGCAACAAACAGTTTCTCTCCAGCTCACCAGATGACACTACTGACTCACTTTCAACATGGCTGAGTTCTTGGTGTCACTGAAACAGTTTTTCTAAGCACCAATTTCATGTAAGTATCACTACCAATTTCCATTATTTTGAAATCAATACTACATAAGATGAATCATGAATGTGTATAGATATGACACATGCCAATTAGTAGATTTTATCTCCTCTGGGTTTTTCACCAGAGGCATCTCGATTTCAATGTTGTGGGTTCGCAACGTGTGCCCAAACAGTTACCAATGGATACTACATGCTTTATCTACTAGTTTGCCTATATTTCGAGCAACAGTTTGACAGAAACTGCCTTTTTTATGAGGTTTTCAGATGTCGGTGAAGAAAAAGGTGGAGAAAAAGTTGTGAGAAAATTTATTTTTTGAATTTTGTTTTGTTAATTTTTTGTTTGTGACATTCTAATAAAGTTAACGTTCATATCAGATTCAGTCTTCGGTGTTAATTTACCACTCCTGGCCACTGTTGCAAATTTGCAACATCCCAGAATTTATTGCATGAGAAGATCTCTCTCTCTCAAAAAAAAAATCTGAATTGTATATTTCTACCCCATATGATAATTTTCTCCAAATATCAGATTTTTTCTGCAACTACAACTTAATTTGAGCCTGAGAGGGTTAAATATCTGAATACATTAAAAGCAAGTAAAAACATTGCAACCTTTAGTTAGTTTTACACCTGAGATCAACAAGTCTAACCTGCTTCAGAATCTAAACTTAAAACATAAAAAAATCCATCAGTGGCCATTTGTCAAACACTGAATGCCTCCGAACACCATCTAATATAAAGCATGCGCTGATGTTAACGTGATGCCTGCAAATTAAACAACCCTCTGTGAGCTACCATTAGCAACTAGCCTGTTAGCTTAGCAACCGCAAGTTTAAAATAATAACAAAGCGGACAGCTGAATCAGTGTGCGCACGAAACAGCATGGAATACGGCAGACTGTCCCTGCTTTTAACATTATGGAACTCACTGCTGATATTTAAGGTCAGTTTAGCCTTTTTTTCGTGCTAGCTTGCTGTAGCTGCTTAATGAATGGGGGGTTGGGCTAGCCTCCAGCATCCTCCATCCTCCACCAGACAATAGATAACTCACCTGATTATAGTGGACCCGGAACGGTTTCAGGTAGTTGGACTCTGTGCATGGGACGACTTCAATGTTGTTAATCTCTTCCATAATTTACAGCTAGAGCAGGATTTGGAGGTTTACCGATGCCACCGTCTCCTCACACTGACAGTGAAGGAATTCCTACGGAAGCCGGGGAAGGACATTCCAGTTTCGATTCGAGTAATGAAATCAAGTGATTTCTTTTCCGTTATACCATGAGTAATATCAAATAACTGCGAGGCAGTATTTCTTCACAATCGTTAGCAGTGAGGTTCAAGATATTAATAAAGGGATTAAACTGAAAAATATAGATAAAAATCATTACAATATTAAATAAAAAGAACAAATGTTAACACTAGTTCAAAACTAAAGCTCACAAGACTCCATTCATATCATCAAGTCATCATGTTTATATTGGACTCCCTTGATGAGATGACTGGAGTCTGCTGTGCCATTGCTTGGTTGGAAAGAAAATCTGACACCCCTGAAATGATCGGGGTAAACAAAAGGATGGAGTCTGCTGGTACTGTTATTTTCAAGGTAGTCTTACCATTTTTGTTTTACTGAACGCAGTAGCATAAAGGTAACATGAATATTTGAAGATAATAAGACTGAATATTATAACTATGATGATTATATAATAATAATAAATGATTGATGAAAAATATAAGGAAAGTTGGACTGAAAACTTAAGTAATGTTGTTTAGAGAGTATAATCAAAGGCCACTCTAACTAAAATATGTTTTTAACCTCTAGACTTAGATTTGTATTAAGACAAACTTTATTGTCATCTTTTATTCACGGTGTATTTAAAACGAATTTTCGATGTACGCAGCATTTCAACAGTGAATGAAAAGCTTACAATAGTGAAATGAACTTTACCATTTATAAAGTGCAGCAGTGATCAGAATGTAAACAGTTTAGGAGCAAAAGGAAAACCAGTTTAAAGTCATGGTGCAAAAGGCATTGATATAAAAAATGTTCAGTGGAGTGCAAAAAAAAAAAATTATATATATATATATATATATATATATATATATATATATATATATATATATATATATATATATATATATATATATATATATATATATATATATATATATATATATATATATATATATATATATATATATATATATATATATATATATATATATATATATATATACCGGTATATGGTGCAAAATGCAGTAGAACATTGAGCTGCTATTTAAAGCAAATTATTTAAAGCAACTTAGGGTTTCAGCAATTTTACCTATTTCTGGGAGTTTATTACAGATTAGTGGAGTATAAAAGCTAAAAGCTTCTTCTCCATGTTTGGTTCTGGGTACATTTGAGCTAGAAGACCTGAGAGGTCTTGGTGGTTGAGATAACAACAAAAATACATTTAATACATTTTGTTGATGGGGCATTAATTAATGTATAAATTACAATAAGTATTTTTCTGTCGGTATATAATAGTTATCGAAACATAAGTTTGCTGATTTATTAAGGTGCAATGTTTTAAATTCCAATGGCTGTGCAATTTCAAATATGAAATGTTCCAAATAACCCTTACAAATTTAGTTATTTTTGACTTAAGTATTAAAGATAGTCATAAAGTTCTGTGCAGTCTGGGATGGGGATTTTGGACTTTTTGTCTTCTTAAAGCGACGAAAAATCTGAAATTTTCTAGGACTTCTTGGGTAGCATGTCAGCGAAATAATGGATTAAGATTTAGCTGCATTTTATCAGCCACACTTGGTTGGTGCCTTACCTCCTAAATTCAGTGGATCCCTTTGTTTCTGATTATTATCACTTGACTAAAACCTAATCTGCTGCTTTTTTTCTCAATAATTTGGACAAATATTTTTTATTTTCTATATCTTTAATTTTCTGTATTATTTTGACTTATTTTTTTATTGTCTTAGGTAATTTTAGTGCATTTAATGATGTTTGTATTTCTTCTTTTGTACAGCACTTTGTTGTTGTTGTTTTTTTAAAGTGCTGTATAAATAAAGTTGTTCTGGAGTCGATTGGACTATCGTGTATTTTTGTAATTTTTAAGCTTATAAAATCCTCCAGACAGCTGACTACACTTTTTTAATCCTAATATTTATAGAATGATACAACTGAATGTCATTATGTTAATTTCAAAACAAAATAAAAAGGCTCCTTAACTAAAAAAGAAAACCTGAGAAATTGGTGACCGAAAAATTCAAAGATTTACTCACGCAGTCCCAGTTTGTCAATAGAGGTGTTTATTATATAATTTCTTACCTGTATGAATGACAGCAAAAAAGCAAACAACTGACGGCACTATTGTGTTTTAACATGTTCCCTAAACCCAAGTTTGTTTACAGGTCCAACTTTGAAAGCACAACAATTACTAACAGTCTCAGACCACTATTGTACTATTTATAGAAGGCAGCCTTTCTGGCGTATGTACAAGATAAGGTCAGGTAAAATTTGAATGTCCCAGAGGGGTGATTTGTTTTACAGACAGAAGTCACTCAGCTGCAAAAAACACATATCAGGTGCAGAAAAACAAACATAATCAACAAGATGTATGTATATTTACATGTACAACCACACAACAAAGTCTAATGTCACTTGTTCTTTAATTCTTCGTTCAGAAAACAATCAGTATAGGCATAACAGGTCTGAATTTGTTAGTGTTGCTTGGCTACATGAAGCAAGATCATGAGATTTTTTTTCCATAACAGTTGAAGGTTACATTCTTTTGTTGCCTGGATCTGATAGTTGTACAACAGGTGTTGTTGATCATTTATTTCGAACACTTAATAAAAAGCAAATATAAGTAAATTAATAAAATCATAACAAAACAAAACAAAAAAGAAGAAAAAGAAAAAGCATATGTACATACCATCATGTTCTAAAAAGAGTAGGAAGAAGTAATAAAACTTATTAAATCCTACCCCTGTTCTATATTAACATCTACCTATGTTTAAGCATACATACATACATATCTATATATATATATATATATACACACATATATACATATATATATACATACACATACATACCTATACGTATATATACACACATACATACTTACACATACACCCGTATCTCAAACACATGCACACATACATGCATATACATACACACCCACATAACTATAGACAGTATGCACATATCTCTATCTACATATACGTACACATATATCCATACATATCCATATACCAAAAACCCTTATCTCTCACACTTTTCTTTATTTATATATATATATATTTTTTTTTTATTTCATCTCTCTTGACTTCTTATTGATTTTAATTCATAGTGGCAGAGCAAGTTTGATTCCCCCTCAAGCCCCCTCCTCCCTGTATCTTGTAAAAATCATTAGTTTATATTTGTTTTTAAACTGGTTGATGTTTGGACATTGCTTCAAATCCATGCTCAGGTGCTTATGTTAAAGTGTATTTTACATGGGGCAATAATTATGGTTTGTGCTTTACTGTAATCAAAAAGCAGTAATTATCAGCCTGCATATCTTCTAACTTTTACTAAACTGAGGCGAATAAAAAGACAAAAGAGAAAAAACAGAATACAATCTGCATTAATATGGTAGATGGCATTAAAAGATCTGTAAAAATCTGAATGTACAAGTATATGTTGCAAAAATAAAAGAGGACTCAGTATCCAGCCCTGTGGATCTCCAAGGGTTGAAAAGAGTTTCATAAAAGTAAAATCTTCTTTTCTTTAAAGCAAAGACAATCCTATATTTTAAACAATCAGATATATTTGCTGGATGTCAACCTCAAAAGAAAACAATTAACCCCCCATAATTAAATGCTGCTCTGGGGTCAGGTGGAAACAAGATGAAGTTCATTGTATACCTTTGTAAGACAGTTCCAGTGAAAATTGTGCTCCAGTGAAAATGGCTTATTAACATTTAAATGTGATTTCTTTTTATTCTCCAAAAATTTTAGAATTAAAAAAAAAGCAAAACTAACATACAAAGGAGTCTAGCATTTCATGACTGGCTCATAATGCCATACTAAACACATTTCACCAAGTTTTGACCAAATTACTTAAATTAATCTTTAAGTTGCAAGCAACAGGCCACACCCTTTTATAGACATTTAAGAGATCTTAAACTATCAGTTTCTGGCTTGCTTGATACAATTAGATATAAAGCTGCTGGCAATTTCTTCAGCATTTTAAAAATGAAAACCTCCTCTGGGACTTTTTACTTAATGACCTCTGAAGGTTCTCAAATCAAAATCCCACGTGCAGTTTCTCATGAGTCGAAACATGAGCAAAGTTTCTCCCCAGTGTTGAGTAATGAATAAGAAAAGGGTGTGAGACATTTTTCTCACAAGCTCAACCTAATGGGTGAGGCTACATGATGTCACCCTCTCATATCAATAACAGCCCGGAGAACAATCTTCAGAGACTCCAATCTCAATGGGGAGGACTTCCTCCTGCAAACTACCAGTCTATACCACCCCAGTCCGCCGCCCACTGTACAAGGACAGGACATAACACTTTTACAAACTGATTTACATCGAAATAAATAAAGGCCAGGACCAAACAATGTGCAGACCCAAAGGAGGAACCGGCGTCTCTCTGCTTAGAAAGCTCAATCTATATCAGCCAATCCGGGCAAGCTGCAGGGCACGATAAGAAAGGAGGGACTGTTGAGTTGAAGCATTGTGCTGGAGTTCACCTCCTCTAGTTTGCTGGCACACTCTATAGGAAACACAAAGAAACAGTGGCAGACCAAAAAGCAGATGAAACAACAAGGAGTTATAAATACATGAGTGGAGACGAACAATCACTATTCTCAAATCAGGCATATATTTGTCAGAGTCTGTAGGTTGTTATGAAGATTGTTCTTTGTATTGCTGCCCATTGAAGCTGCATATTTTGTTACATTATAACCTCAAACTTCAGAAGTTTAGATTATGTGATAGAGCAACATAAAGCCATGTATAGTGCCGTTTTAGTATACAAAACATGCAGCAAATAACAAAACATGCTGCAAACAAACAAAAGAATGATGCACACTTCAATGTACCAGAAACTAAAAACAATGTGGCAGAAAGCAAATAAATATTTGCAAGCGGTCTGGTGCACTTCCGTTTTGTGAAATAACATTTTTATCATTCCTGTGTCTGCAGCACCTTAATCAATTAGCCTCTGTAATTTG